TACACAATATCCAAATCCCAGCAGGGTGGTGTGTGCCTGTAGTCCCAGCTACTCAGGGGACTGAGGTGGGGGAATCACCTGAGTACAGGAAGTGGAGGCTACAGTGAGCCATGATGTGATTGTGCCACTGTACATCAGCCTGGGTGATGAGAGTGAGACGCTGTCTAAAAAATATATATATATATATATATTTTAATATATACATAAATATATATATATTTATATATATTTATATATATTTTAATATATATGTAAAAATATATATTTCATATATATATATGAAATATACATATGAGGTCTTGAACTTACATTAATGACATTTACTGGACAAGAAAATGTGTTGGCCAATGTTATTCTCGTGCTGAAATCTGGATAAGGGTTTCCTCCAAATATTTCCTTAAGCGCCTGCAATAATTCTTCAGAAAATTTGTGTCGGCGTTTTGCTTTTCTCTTTTCCTTTCTTTGTCTTTCTTTATTATGATGATCCTCTTCAGCTGGGGAACCTGACAAAAGTGTAAGCAAAGAGCGTTGGAGAATATTGGTGTGAGAAGTAGAAAAGTTCCTCTTTAAAATTGTCTTTCTTGTTAAAGAACAAATTTGCTAATAACTCTTTATTATCCTATGTAGCTGTTAGACATGTTATCCTATCCTATGTAGCTGTTAGACATGCCATGCTTACAGGCATGTAATACATTCTATGTCCTTGTACTTTAACCAAGATATCTGTGCTGGATGTGCTCATAGGCATGTCCCAGCTCGCAGCTGATGTCCCTTACCTGTTTAAAAAAGTTTTCTTTTTTGCCCAGCCTGGTGGCTTACGCCTGTAATCCCAGCACTTTGGGAGGCCGAGGTGGGCAGATCATGAGGTCAGGATATCGAGACCATCCTGGCCATGGTGAAACCCCATCTCTAATAAAATATAAAAAATTAGCCTGGTGTGGTGGTGCAGGCCTGTAGTCCCAAGCTACTCAGGAGGCTGAGGCAGGGGAATTGCTTGAATCTGGGAGACGGAGGTTGCAGTAAGTCGAGATCGTGCCACTGTACTCCAGCCTGGCGAAAGAGCAAGACTCTGCAAAATTTTTTTTTTTTTTTGTGCTGCGATCGAGTCTCACTCTGTCTCCAAGGTAGAGTGCAGTGGCCTGATCCCGGCTCACTGCAACCTCCACCTTCCAGGTTCAAGCGATTCTCCTGCCTCAGCCCCCTGAGTAGCTGGGATTACAGGGATGTGCCACCACACCCGGCTAATTTTTGTAATTTTAGTAGAGATCATGTTGGCCAGGATGGTCTCGATATCTTGACCTCGTGATCCACCTGCCTCGGCCTCCTAAAGTGCTAGGATTAAAGGCTGAGCCACCACACCCTGCCCGTTTAAAAAAATTTTAAGTTGTTAGCCAATCGGGTTTTAGTTTAGATTGTGAGGTCTGGCTCCAGCCGATGGAGATCAGACAGCAGGAAGGATGATCCCAAATGCCTGAGGGGTAAATTTGTCTGCTTTTCCTTTGTTCATTGTACTCTCCTGGCAAGATGTGTAGGGAGAGTACCCTTCCTGCAGTGCAGGAAGTAAAAATTGCTTGCTTAGAGATCCTTTGTTTCAGTGCTGATTTTTCTTTGTGGCACCGAGCATCTGTTTCCAACAATTGGTAATAAGCAGACTAAAGAAGACTTCCAAACAGTGTTAGCACCATATATTCCCTCCCTTTCCTAAGATGAAATTAAAGCCTGACATAATAGCTACTCAAAATAATAAAATTACAAATGAAAGCAGGGATTGGTTAACTCTAGGCCTATGGGCCAGATACAACAGTTGCCTGTGTTTGTAATTAGAGAGTTTTACTGAAACACCAGTCACATTCATTCACTTATGTATTGTCTATGGCTCCTTTCAAGCCACAACTGCAGATTTAGTCATTGAGGCTCAAATTTGTCTAGGATCCACACAGTGTAATATATTTACTATCTGGATTAGAGAATTTATTGTTAAAATTAGAAAAAACTGTAGGAGAATATTTTATAATTTCATCACTGTAATGTACACGACAGGAAAAACTTATCTATACTGATTGGAAGGCAGGATATTGACTACTGAGGGAACAGAGTCAGAGACGGAAAGGAAGCCAGTGTAGGCCTCTGGGTGCTACTAAATTCTCTTTATCCGAATGCCCTCTGAGTTCCATGAATGCAGTTAGTTTGTGAACACTCATCACATTAAACGTGTAAATATTTGCTATTTTTGGCCTGCATAGTATATTTCAATTAAATCTTTTTTTCTTTATTTTTGAGACAGAGTCTCCCTCTGTTGCCTAGGCTGGAGTGCAGTGGCCTGTTCTCAGCCCACTGCAACCTCTGCCTACAGGGTTCAAGCAATTCTTGGACCTCAGCCTTTGGAGTAGCTGGGACTATAGGTATGTACCACCGTGACTTCCTAATTTTTTTTTTTTTTTTTTGCACAGGTAATGTCCTGCTACGTTGCCCAGGCTGGCTTTGAACTCCTGGGTTCAATCGATCCTCCTGCTCTAACCTCCTTGCTTTGTTTATTATTACTCTGTTTTTACTTTAGGCATACAGCCAAAGTCATATTAAATTGGATACATAAACACTTAAATGTACATTTCAGAAAATTATAATCAATAACTTAAGTTTCCAAAGACAGAACTTACAAAAAATGTTCAAAACTACCAAAAGAGGAAGCAGTTAGGGAGCAGGAAAATTAACAAAAGAAGTAAAACTCATGAAACAATCTAAAAGGTTAAGTAAGATACAGGAGAAACTGGTACTTTGTAATGAAAAGTAATACATCTTAATAAAATTCAATAGGATGCATTAGGTAGTTCATACATTCTTTTCTACACTTAAAGGGTCAACTTTAAAACTTTAGCGAGGCTGGGTGCCCTGGTTCACGCCTGTAATCCCAGCGCTTTGGGAGGCCGAGGCAGGCGGATCACGAGGTCAAGAAATCGAGACCATCCTGGCCAACATGGTGACAATTCGTCTCTACTAAAAATACAAAAATTAGCTGGGCCTTTGGAACGCGCCTGTAGTCCCAGTACGCGGGAGGCTGAGGCGGAAGAATCGCTTGAACCCGGGAGGCGGAGGTTGCAGTGAGCCGAGACTGTGCCACTGCCCCAGCCTGCGACGGAGCAAGACTGTCTCAAAAAACAAAACAAAACAAAACAAAAAACCAAAAACAAATAAACAAACAAACAAAGCAAAACTTTAGGTAGATGACCCTTGTATGGGACCCATGGCTGCCATCTTACATTTGAAATTCAAGAGTTCAATTTCAGAGCACTCCATACGCCATAACGCAATTTATCAGTAAAAAACAGCTGCTGCTCCAACAAACTAATTGTGTTTGTGCTATAAACTTTGACACACTTTGAAAAAAAGCAAAGCATGTAGTATTATCAAAGAACAGAGAAAAAGCTCATGGGAATTTACCGCCTGAAGAGCCCTCCAAACTCATCTTGGGCAGAAGATGTAGACTCCACGGAGATCAGTGGGCAACTGAGCAGCTCCCGAAGACACAGGCTTTATATACGGTCTCGGTGACCCGCCCCTTTCTTAAATACCTTTCAATTTAATCCCCTCGTTAAATATTTAACAGCGTTAGAAAGAAACTTGAAGTAATCAGATTAAGAAAGTATAGATCCTACTAGGTGATTTTGTCTCTGTAATAATACCTTTGCAAATATGACTCTTGTTTTATTTTGGTTTGGCCACATTACTTTCTACATTATAGGAATATCCTTACCTTACTTTGTATTTTTTGTTTTCCTCTGCTCTTCTGAAACCCGTCTTTTTTCATCAATTGCAATGTAGAGCATCAACTTGGCTGATCTACACTCCCTATTTTTTTCAACAAAACATGAATCTAGGCATTGCTGTGAAGGCATTTTTAATCTGTTGGCTTTCAGTGAAGGACAATATTTTGGATTAACTGAGTGGGTTTAATTCAATCAGTGGGTTTAAGAGCAAAGCTGAGGTTTCTTTGGAGGGAAGTGGGAAAGCACATCTGCCTGGGCGTGGTGTCTCATGCCTGTAATCCTCACACTTTGGGAGGCTGAGGCAGGAGGATCACTTGAGCCTAAGAGTTCAAGGCCAGCCTGGGTCTTGAACTACCTAAGTTTAAGCAGCTGCTGTTTTTTTACTGATAAATTGTGTTAGGGTATACGTGGGTGATTTGAAGTTGGACTCTTGAATTTGAAATGTAAGATGGCAGCTGTGAGTCCAGTATAAGGGTCATCTACCTAAAATTTTTAAGTTGACATTTTAAGTGTGGAAAAGAATGTGTGCACTATCTAATGCACACAGTGAGACCATATCTTATTTATATAAAAATTTTAAAAAATCCTATCGGTGCTCAGCTGCTGTTTCAGGCATTTCTGACTGCTTTTGCAAAGGGCCTGCCCTACAGACTTTATGCCTGCCTACCCAGCCCCTACAATTATAGAAGTGAGTTCAAAGGCTTTAGATAAATTGTTGCTGGCTGAACAATTTTTAAAAAGTGCATCATTTTCTGAGAAGAAGAAATATAATATCCTTCACGTTTATACCCATCCTGAAAAAGAATGTAGGATGACATTACTACATAAAGATTCATTTACTATAAAGCAAAAGGGATGCAAGAGGTGATGTGATTAACCAAAGGTGAGAGTTGGATCTAGAACTAAGACTGGGGTTCTATGACTGCTTGTACAGTTCTCTGGTAGAAGTTGTCGATTGAAAAAATTTACACATATGTACATTTAGAAAGGATATTTTATTGCTGGGCGCGGTGGCTCAAGCCTGTAATCCCAGCACCGTGGGAGGCTGAGGCGGGTGGATCACGAGGTCAAGAGATCGAGACCATCCTGGTCAACATGGTGAAAACCCGTCTCTACTAAAAAAATACAAAAAAAAAAATTAGCTGGGCATGGTGGCCGCGTGCCTGTTATCCCAGTGACTCAGGAGGCTGGGGCAGGAGAATTGCCTGAACCCGGGAGGCAGAGGTTGCAGTGAGCCAAGATCACGCCATTGCACTCCAGCCTGGGTAACAAGAGCGAAACTCCGTCTCAGAAAAAAAAGAAAGGATATTTTATTCCTTATAAAGGTTTATAGCCTGCAAGGTGTCTATTCTAATAGGCAGTGTAACTGCCTATAGAGCCTGAAAGGCAGTTACTTCAAGGGAGGGAAGTATGGAACAGTGATTTATGCTGAGTGGGTTGGCTAAACACACATATTCAACAAGTTGCAGGAGGAGCTGTGAATATTCATGAATGGGGTCCTGATGCACATGTACTGAACAAACGTGCAGCTCACATGCATCCCACATTGACTTTGGGGTGGAAACTTAATGTTTAAGTATATTACAATTAGGCCCTATATGTCAAAAGGTGAAGCAGAGGCATGAAGGCATTCAAGTGCACAGCCTTTGTAAACCAGCCAGAAGCAATTAATGGTCGGTGGTCTCTCATCAGGATAAAGTTGCTGATATTAGTCTCTTGTCCAGTCAAAGCTACGGCTATTGCTTGCAGAATGGGAGGGTTGTTATTTAGTGCCTGTTGGTGGGTGAACTGGGATTGTTTTAACATTGCTCATCTCGATGCCAGTGTTGTTTGGCCTCTAGAGAAAAAGAAAAACCTTGTGGCATTAGAACACAGTTGATTGTTTGAGTGTAGGTGCACAGGGCTTGACCCTTGCCTGGCATGGCTTTAGGTCCTATTTATAATTTGGTATCTTATTGCCACCAAGAGTCTGTTCTGTCAATTTTATGATCTCTCTCTTTTTTTTTTTTTGATTTGGAGTTTGGTTCTGTTGCTCAGGCTGCAGTGCAATGGCATGATTTTGGCTCACTGTGACCTCTGCCTTATGGGTTCAAGCGACTGCCCTGCCTCAGCCTCCTGAGTAGCTGGGATTATAGGCATGCGCCACCACGCCTAGCTAATATTTTTAGTAGAGATGGAGTTTCTCCACATTGGTCAGGCAGGTCTTGAACTCCCGACCTTGGGTGATCTGCCCGCCTTAGCCTCCCAAAGTGCTGGAATTACAGGCATTAGTCACCATGCCCAGTGTATGATCTTTTTCTTAACATCAATGCTGGTCAGGTGTTGTGTCTAAATCATTAAAGGGAAAGGAGTTTAATGAGGCATGTCTGACCTCCCATCCTATCATGCTCAGGAACTCAGACTTTGAGGTTTTCCTGGGGTGTCCTTGGCCAAGAGGGTGTCCAGTTCAGCCTTGGTTGTGGGGCGGTGGTTAGAATTTTATTTTTAGTTCTCAATGTGAACATGGGAAATATAGCCTCCTCTTCCTCAGCTGCTGCTATGTTGATCCACAGAATGAAGGAGACAGCTTCGCAGTGAAGGATTAAGATCTCCAATTCTGCCGGGCGCGGTGGCTCAAGCCTGTAATCCCAGCACTGTGGGAGGCCGAGGCGGGTGGATCACGAGGTCAAGAGATCGAGACCATCCTGGTCAACATGGTGAAACCCCGTC